TTCTCTCTCTCTTATATAGGCTGTTGTATTATCAGAAAAACCAGGAATTACCACCGAATCAGAAAATATGGAACCTGCTTTATTGGATGAATTGTTATTGAATATTTCAAGTCTTTCATCAATTTATCATAAATCTCCACAAACTTTTATTCATCATTGTAAACCTCATTATTTAATCCAATCTCCAGTTTTGAATAGAAGATATTCAAGAAAAACACAAGATTTATTTGACACCGATTTTGATAAATATATTAACGAGTAAGTGTATTAAATTTCACCTCATCATTTAATTTTATTTTATCAATGTATTCAATAATAATTTTTTTAATATTATGATGATAGTATTGGAATAATCGAAACAAATCCTTATAACGTAGATGTTGCAAAAATCGATGTTCAATCAACATCAAATAATTTACTTTTAGATTTGTAATTAATATATTTATAATTTCACTTTCAATTTTAATTTTAAACCTAAAATTAATTTTAAAAAAATTTTTTTTTTGTATAATTAAATTTACATTGTTTTTTAAAATTGGTGCGATGCTCTATTACTTTTATTTGAATTTAATATTAATAACTAGTAGTCGACTAAGGGTTTTTGGACGATTCCAACCTCTATTATTTACAATTACAATCAAACAATAGGATATATATTATATATATATTACAACATACATGTCTCGTGGGAACATAAATCCTTAAATGTTTCATTCACTAATTTAGTTTTCTTGCTTAAATTTTCAACTAATTTTTAATTCTTAATTTTCAACACTCCCCTACCATAAATATCCGACCACCCGATGACCATTTTAATAATCGGAAATATTACGCCTTATGCAGTTCAAAATTTCATTAATCAAACCAAGACCAATGCATTAAGTAAGCATGTTTTTTAAAGTTGACTTGCATATAAATTAAAGTCTTGTCGAGTTTGCATTATTAATGAATTTAGGATGAAAATTTTAAATTAGACAAAATATTCTGCGATTTTTATGAAAACTTTGAGCTTAGTAAAAACCTTCAAAACTCCGTTGAATCATGGATTACGTCATTAAGTAAGTCCACTTAAAATATCTTGAATTATATATGGTTAAAA